TGTTTTAGTCACTGTACTCAGTGGTTTTCAGCGAATGCTTGTGCACTAATGCATAATTTTTCCTGTCTTTTTAATCAAGCGTGTTAACTTGCTGCGTACTTCCATTCCGTTCTCTATTTACAGCATTTGTCTATTAAGTTTTAATTGTTTTTCAAACGCGATCTACTGCAGCTCTACGTTCACACCTTTGTTTTCAGTCTTTCTATATTTATTTTATCAATGTATCCTTATAATTCAATTAATTTTAAATAAAAATTTAATGAATTATATATTTTAGATGTTTTTAGTTTATATCTTCACATCTGAACAACGTGTCTGTGTAAATTTGTTTTAACAAAAATTGTGTTAAAACAATATGTTGGATATAAATGTTTTTTTTTTTTTTTTTTTTTTTTACATTAATCATGGTTGTCAACTTGCCATCAGCAATTATCATTAAAAACAATGCAAATATTGATATTACTAAAACTCAATGTGTGGCTTTTGCACTTTTTAAAGTACACTTTTACACATAAATATCCTAATTTATGGTTTTAGGTAACACTTTATTTTAAGGTGTCCTTGTTACATATGTTACATGTACTTACTGTAGTAATAACAGTAAATTATGCATAATTACATGCAACTAACCCTCAACCAAATCCTAATCATACCCTATTCCTATAGTAAGTACATGTAGTTCCTTAATATTACTCTGTACTTAAATATATAATTACACTGTAACAAGGACACCTTAAAATAAAGTGTAACCGGGTTTTATTTAGTCAATAAACAAAAAAATCTAATTGAATTTTTATCCGATTAATCGATTAATCGAAAAAATAATCGTCCGATTAATCGATTATCAAAATAATCGTTAGTTGCAGCCCTAGAGTGAGTGTATGAGAGTGAGTGTGTGTGTGAGTGTGAGAGTGAGTGTGAGTGTGTGTGTGTATGAGAGTGAGTGTGTGTGTGTGTATGAGTGTGAGTGAGTGTGAGAGTGAGTGTGAGTGTGAGTGTGAGAGTGAGTGTGTGTGTGAGTGTGAGAGTGAGAGTGAGTGTGAGTGTGAGAGTGAGTGTGAGAGTGAGTGTGAGAGTGAGTGTGAGAGTGAGTGTGAGTGTGAGTGTGAGTGAGAGTGTGAGAGTGAGTGTGAGTGTGAGAGTGAGTGTGAGAGTGAGTGTGAGAGTGAGTGTGAGAGTGAGAGTGAGTGTGAGAGTGAGTGTGAGTGTGAGTGTGAGAGTGAGTGTGAGTGTGAGTGTGAGAGAGTGAGTGTGAGAGTGAGTGTGAGTGTGAGTGAGAGTGTGAGTGAGAGTGTGAGTGTGAGTGAGTGAGTGAGTGTGTGAGTGAGAGTGTGAGTGAGAGTGTGAGTGAGAGTGTGAGTGTGAGAGTGTGTGTGTGTGAGTGTGAGAGTGTGAGTGTGAGTGAGAGTGTGTGAGAGTGTGAGTGTGAGAGTGTGTGAGTGAGAGTGAGAGTGTGAGTGTGAGTGAGAGTGAGAGTGTGTGAGTGAGAGTGTGAGTGAGAGTGTGAGAGTGTGTGTGAGTGAGAGTGAGTGAGAGTGAGTGTGAGTGTGAGTGTGTGAGTGAGAGTGAGAGTGAGTGTGAGTGAGTGAGAGTGTGAGAGTGTGTGTGAGTGAGAGTGAGTGAGAGAGTGAGTGTGAGAGTGAGTGTGAGTGTGAGTGTGTGAGTGAGAGTGAGAGTGTGAGTGAGTGAGTGTGAGTGTGAGAGTGAGTGTGAGAGTGTGTGTGAGTGAGAGTGAGTGAGAGTGTGAGAGTGAGTGTGAGTGTGAGTGTGAGTGTGTGAGTGTGTGTGAGTGAGAGTGAGAGTGTGAGTGAGAGTGAGAGTGAGAGTGTGAGTGAGAGTGTGAGAGTGTGTGTGAGTGAGAGTGAGTGAGAGTGTGAGTGAGAGTGTGAGTGTGAGAGTGTGTGTGAGTGAGAGTGTGAGTGAGAGTGTGAGAGTGTGTGTGAGTGAGAGTGAGTGAGAGTGTGAGAGTGAGTGTGAGTGTGAGAGTGAGAGTGAGTGTGAGTGAGTGTGAGTGAGAGTGTGAGAGTGTGTGTGAGAGTGAGTGAGAGTGTGAGAGTGAGTGAGTGTGAGAGTGAGTGTGAGTGAGAGTGAGTGAGAGTGTGAGAGTGAGTGTGAGAGTGAGTGTGAGTGAGTGTGAGTGAGAGTGTGAGAGTGTGTGTGAGTGAGAGTGAGTGAGAGTGTGAGAGTGAGTGTGAGTGTGAGAGTGAGAGTGAGTGTGAGTGAGTGTGAGTGAGAGTGTGAGAGTGTGTGTGAGAGTGAGTGAGAGTGTGAGAGTGAGTGAGTGTGAGAGTGAGTGTGAGTGAGAGTGAGTGAGAGTGTGAGAGTGAGTGTGAGAGTGAGTGTGAGAGTGAGTGTGAGAGTGAGTGTGAGTGTGAGTGAGAGTGAGAGTGTGAGAGTGAGTGAGTGTGAGTGTGAGAGTGAGTGTGAGAGTGTGTGTGAGTGAGAGTGAGTGTGAGAGTGAGTGTGAGAGTGTGAGTGTGAGTGTGAGAGTGTGTGTGAGTGAGAGTGTGAGTGAGAGTGTGAGAGTGTGTGTGAGTGAGAGTGAGTGAGAGTGTGAGAGTGAGTGTGTGTGTGAGTGAGTGTGAGTGTGAGAGTGAGAGTGAGTGTGAGTGAGTGTGAGTGAGAGTGTGAGAGTGTGTGTGAGAGTGAGTGAGAGTGTGAGAGTGAGTGAGTGTGAGTGTGAGAGTGAGTGTGAGTGAGAGTGAGTGAGAGTGTGAGAGTGAGTGTGAGAGTGAGTGTGAGTGAGTGTGAGTGAGAGTGTGAGAGTGAGTGTGAGAGTGAGTGTGAGTGTGAGTGAGAGTGAGAGTGTGAGAGTGAGTGAGTGTGAGAGTGAGTGTGAGAGTGTGTGTGAGTGAGAGTGAGTGAGAGAGTGAGTGTGAGAGTGTGAGTGTGAGTGTGAGAGTGAGTGAGTGAGAGTGAGAGTGTGAGAGTGAGTGAGAGTGTGAGTGTGAGTGTGTGAGTGTGAGAGTGAGTGAGAGTGAGAGTGAGAGTGAGAGTGTGAGTGTGAGTGTGAGTGTGAGTGTGAGAGTGAGTGAGAGTGAGAGTGAGAGTGTGAGTGTGAGTGTGAGTGTGAGTGTGAGTGTGAGTGTGAGAGTGAGTGAGAGTGAGAGTGAGAGTGTGAGTGTGTGAGTGTGAGTGAGAGTGAGTGAGAGTGAGTGAGAGTGAGTGTGTGTGTGAGTGAGTGTGTGAGTGTGAGAGTGTGAGAGTGAGAGTGAGAGTGAGTGAGTGAGTGTGAGTGTGTGAGTGTGAGAGTGTGAGTGAGTGAGTGTGAGTGTGTGAGTGTGAGAGTGAGTGAGTGTGAGTGTGTGAGTGTGAGTGTGTGAGTGTGAGTGTGAGAGTGAGTGTGAGAGAGTGAGTGTGAGTGTGAGAGTGTGTGTGAGTGTGAGTGTGAGTGAGAGTGTGAGTGAGAGTGTGAGTGAGAGTGTGAGTGTGAGTGAGAGTGTGAGTGTGAGTGTGAGTGTGAGTGTGAGTGTGAGTGTGAGTTGTACGGTTGACTAACAGCAGTGACCGCTTCTGCTTCTAGACTGATGGAGTGTTTGTTCCCGCCGATCCCTCGTCCTCCTATGAGAAAGTGAGACGCTTTTCCTTTTTATACCATTTTTACAAACGATTCTGTATGTATGCAAATAAAGTTCTTCAAATATATCACTGAGTGTCTCATGTTCTGCTGATTGCCGTCACGAGCCGTGTGTGTGTGTGTGTGTTTCCAGCTGCCTGTAGTGATGCGTATCCCACAGTTCTCTGCGGTGGCTCAGAACCTGTGTATGATGCAGTTCTCCATTCTGGGCTACGGTGACATCATCATACCAGGTCAGAGTTTACACACATGTACACACACAACGTTAAAACCCCCTGTTCTGCTATTTTAAAGGTGGTGTTGATGTGCTGCGGTCTCTTAGGAATAGATGTGTGAATGATCTTCATGGAAAGTGACGTACAAAGAGTTTCTCAAGTGTAAATTCAGTTTCACTCCGGGACATGATGGAGTCACACAGGATTTAAGCCTTCCGATGATTTTAGTTACTATGAACAAATCACTAATATCCATGGAAGCGTGTTTCCGCCATGGAATAAAGTGTCATAATACAATGTTTAAAACCCCTATTCTGCTATTTTAAAGGCTCCTAATGTTGTTTGGGCGTCTCCTACAACAGGTTCACATTCATCCAAGGTCAAACACACACTAATGTCCTCATAATCTCCACTGCAGCTTCAGCTCTTTCCTCTCAGTGTCTGAAACGCTTCCATCAAGGACTCAGTCTCTCTAAGCCCCGCCTCTCTGAGAGCTGCTCTGCTGTGATTGGTCAGAAAGCAAACGCTCATTATCATATCTGAATCTCAGCTCTTGATCACAGTGATGCGAACAGTAACGATAGCGTGGGTTTCACCGTCTCAATCTCAGAAAACAGCGTCTCCTCGACACGAACAACACGAGCCGAACTCTCCCAGTCTCAGATACACTACAGTGTTTGAGGGCGGAGCTAAGAGACGCTGCTCAGCCAATCAACACCACAGGCTGACATTATGCTAATTAGTCACAAACCTGAATACTGACGACTCGTTTCAGTTCAGAATCACTTCTTTCTTTTAGGAGACAGTAACTTAATTTAACTGAACTTTGATCGTTTACAGCTTTATTACACACTGCATGAAAGGGAATATCTAGAAAGAGCACTGAAGTTTTATAGTTATGTATTCAGTAAATCCATAACTAATCCATTTTTCATTTTTGAAGTATTTCTGTTTTGATTATTTCTAATGTTTGATAAGCTGCTGATTTAAAAAAAAATGTTTTAGAAATTACAATAAATATTATAATCAAAAAAAAAAAAAAAAATAGATTATCTGAACTTTGATCGTTGAAACTGTGCAGAGCTTTATTACACACAGCATGACCTCATAACGCTCTCTCTCTGCAGGACTGCTGGTGTCGTACTGCCATAAGTTTGACGTGTGGACGGGAAACTCCAGAAGAACATACTTCATCTCCAGCGCTGTCGGTACGAGAACAGCACACACACACACACTTCATCTCCAGCGCTGTCGGTACGAGAACAGCACACACACACACACACACACTTCATCTCCAGCGCTGTCGGTACGAGAACAGCACACACACACACACACACACACACACTTCATCTCCAGCGCTGTCGGTACGAGAACAGCACACACACACACACACACACACACACACTTCATCTCCAGCGCTGTCGGTACGAGAACAGCACACACACACACACACACACACACACTTCATCTCCAGCGCTGTCGGTACGAGAACAGCACACACACACACACACACACACACACACACACACTTCATCTCCAGCGCTGTCGGTACGAGAACAGCACACACACACACACACACACACACTTCATCTCCAGCGCTGTCGGTATGAGAACAGCACACACACACACACACACACACACACACACACACACACTTCATCTCCAGCGCTGTCGGTACGAGAACAGCACACACACACACACACACACACACACACACACACACACACACACTTCATCTCCAGCGCTGTCGGTACGAGAACAGCACACACACATACACACACACACACACACACACACACACTTCATCTCCAGCGCTGTCGGTACGAGAACAGCACACACACACACACACACACACACACACACACTTCATCTCCAGCGCTGTCGGTACGAGAACAGCACACACACACACACACACACACACACACACTTCATCTCCAGCGCTGTCGGTACGAGAACAGCACACACACACACACACACACACACACACTTCATCTCCAGCGCTGTCGGTACGAGAACAGCACACACACACACACACACACACACACACTTCATCTCCAGCGCTGTCGGTACGAGAACAGCACACACACACACACACACACACACACACACACACACACACACACACACACACACACACTTCATCTCCAGCGCTGTCGGTACGAGAACAGCACACACACACACACACACACACTTCATCTCCAGCGCTGTCGGTATGAGAACAGCACACACACACACACACACACACACTTCATCTCCAGCGCTGTCGGTACGAGAACAGCACACACACATACACACACACACACACACTTCATCTCCAGCGCTGTCGGTACGAGAACAGCACACACACATACACACACACACACTTCATCTCCAGGGCTGTCGGTACGAGAACAGCACACACACACACACACACACACACACTTCATCTCCAGCGCTGTCGGTACGAGAACAGCACACACACACACACACACACACACACTTCATCTCCAGCGCTGTCGGTACGAGAACAGCACACACACACACACACACACACACACACACTTCATCTCCAGCGCTGTCGGTACGAGAACAGCACACACACATACACACACACACACTTCATCTCCAGGGCTGTCGGTACGAGAACAGCACACACACACACACACACACACACTTCATCTCCAGCGCTGTCGGTACGAGAACAGCACACACACACACACACACACACACACACACACACTTCATCTCCAGCGCTGTCGGTACGAGAACAGCACACACACACACACACACACACACTTCATCTCCAGCGCTGTCGGTACGAGAACAGCACACACACATACACACACACACACACACACTTCATCTCCAGGGCTGTCGGTACGAGAACAGCACACACACACACACACACACACACTTCATCTCCAGCGCTGTCGGTACGAGAACAGCACACACACACACACACACACACACACTTCATCTCCAGCGCTGTCGGTACGAGAACAGCACACACACACACACACACACACTTCATCTCCAGCGCTGTCGGTACGAGAACAGCACACACACACACACACACACACACACACTTCATCTCCAGCGCTGTCGGTATGAGAACAGCACACACACACACACACACACACACACACACACACACACACACACACACACACACTTCATCTCCAGCGCTGTCGGTACGAGAACAGCACACACACACACACACACACACACACACTTCATCTCCAGCGCTGTCGGTACGAGAACAGCACACACACATACACACACACACACACACACACACACACACTTCATCTCCAGCGCTGTCGGTACGAGAACAGCACACACACACACACACACACACTTCATCTCCAGCGCTGTCGGTACGAGAACAGCACACACACACACACACACACACACACACTTCATCTCCAGCGCTGTCGGTATGAGAACAGCACACACACACACACACACACACACACACACACTTCATCTCCAGCGCTGTCGGTACGAGAACAGCACACACACACACACACACACACACACACACACACACACACACACACACTTCATCTCCAGCGCTGTCGGTACGAGAACAGCACACACACACACACACACACACACACACACTTCATCTCCAGCGCTGTCGGTACGAGAACAGCACACACACATACACACACACACACTTCATCTCCAGCGCTGTCGGTACGAGAACAGCACACACACACACACACACACACTTCATCTCCAGCGCTGTCGGTATGAGAACAGCACACACACACACACACACACACACACACACACACACTTCATCTCCAGCGCTGTCGGTACGAGAACAGCACACACACACACACACACACACTTCATCTCCAGCGCTGTCGGTATGAGAACAGCACACACACACACACACACACACACACACACACACACACACTTCATCTCCAGCGCTGTCGGTACGAGAACAGCACACACACATACACACACACACACTTCATCTCCAGGGCTGTCGGTACGAGAACAGCACACACACACACACACACACACACACACACTTCATCTCCAGCGCTGTCGGTACGAGAACAGCACACACACACACACACACACACACACACACACACACACACACACACTTCATCTCCAGCGCTGTCGGTACGAGAACAGCACACACACACACACACACACACACACACACACACACACACACTTCATCTCCAGCGCTGTCGGTACGAGAACAGCACACACACATACACACACACACACACACACTTCATCTCCAGCGCTGTCGGTACGAGAACAGCACACACACACACACACACACACACACACACTTCATCTCCAGCGCTGTCGGTATGAGAACAGCACACACACACACACACACACACACACACACACACACACACTTCATCTCCAGCGCTGTCGGTACGAGAACAGCACACACACACACACACACACACTTCATCTCCAGCGCTGTCGGTACGAGAACAGCACACACACACACACACACACACACACACACACACTTCATCTCCTCCAGCGCTGTCGGTACGAGAACAGCACACACACACACACACACACACACACACACACACACACACACACACACACACACACACACTTCATCTCCTCCAGCGCTGTCGGTACGAGAACAGCACACACACACACACACACACACACACACACACACACACTTCATCTCCAGCGCTGTCGGTATGAGAACAGCACACACACACACACACACACACACACACTTCATCTCCAGCGCTGTCGGTACGAGAACAGCACACACACACACACACACACACACACACACACACACACACTTCATCTCCTCCAGCGCTGTCGGTACGAGAACAGCACACACACACACACACACACACACACACACACACACTTCATCTCCTCCAGCGCTGTCGGTACGAGAACAGCACACACACACACACACACACACACACACTTCATCTCCTCCAGCGCTGTCGGTACGAGAACAGCACACACACACACACACACACACACACACACACACACTTCATCTCCTCCAGCGCTGTCGGTACGAGAACAGCACACACACACACACACACACACTTCATCTCCAGCGCTGTCGGTACGAGAACAGCACACACACACACACACACACACTTCATCTCCAGCGCTGTCGGTACGAGAACAGCACACACACACACACACACACACTTCATCTCCAGCGCTGTCGGTACGAGAACAGCACACACACACACACACACACACTTCATCTCCAGCGCTGTCGGTACGAGAACAGCACACACACACACACACACACACTTCATCTCCAGCGCTGTCGGTACGAGAACAGCACACACACACACACACACACACACACACACTTCATCTCCTCCAGCGCTGTCGGTACGAGAACAGCACACACACACACACACACTTCATCTCCAGGGCTGTCGGTACGAGAACAGCACACACACACACACACACACTTCATCTCCAGCGCTGTCGGTACGAGAACAGCACACACACACACACACACACACACACACACACTTCATCTCCAGCGCTGTCGGTACGAGAACAGCACACACACACACACACACACACTTCATCTCCAGCGCTGTCGGTACGAGAACAGCACACACACACACACACACACACACACACACACACACACACACACTTCATCTCCTCCAGCGCTGTCGGTACGAGAACAGCACACACACACACACACACACACACACACACACACACACACTTCATCTCCTCCAGCGCTGTCGGTACGAGAACAGCACACACACACACACACACACACACACACACACACACTTCATCTCCTCCAGCGCTGTCGGTACGAGAACAGCACACACACACACACACACACACTTCATCTCCAGCGCTGTCGGTACGAGAACAGCACACACACACACACACACACACTTCATCTCCAGCGCTGTCGGTACGAGAACAGCACACACACACACACACACACACTTCATCTCCAGCGCTGTCGGTACGAGAACAGCACACACACACACACACACACACTTCATCTCCAGCGCTGTCGGTACGAGAACAGCACACACACACACACACACACACACACACACACACTTCATCTCCTCCAGCGCTGTCGGTACGAGAACAGCACACACACACACACACACTTCATCTCCAGGGCTGTCGGTACGAGAACAGCACACACACACACACACACACTTCATCTCCAGCGCTGTCGGTACGAGAACAGCACACACAC